GTGGTGTGTGGGGTGTGGGTGGGGAGGGAGTGTGTGTGTGGTGTGGGTGGGGAGGTGTGGTGTGTGGGGAGGTGTGTGGTTGGTGGGGAGGTGTGTGTGGTGGGGGGGAGGTGGTGTGGGTGGGGAGGAGGTGTGTGTGGGTGGGGAGGAGAGTGTGTGTGGGTGTGGGGAGTGTGTGTGGTGGGTGGGAAGTGTGTGGTGTGGGTGGGGGAGTGTGTGTGGTGTGTGTGGGGAGGGAGTGTGTGGTTTGGTGGGAGAAGTGTGTGTGTGGTGTGGGTGGGGAGGAGGGGTGTGTGTGGTGTGGGTGGGGAGGAGCGTGTGTGTGTGGTGTGGGGGAGGGGGTGTGTGTGGTGTGGGGTGGGGAGGTGTGTGGTTGTGGGTGGGGAGATCAGTGTGTGGTGTGGGTGGGGAGGTGTGTGTGGGTGTGTGTGGGGAGGGTTGGGTGGGGAAAGAGTTTGTGGTGTGGTGGGGAGATCAGTGTGTGTGTGTGGGAGGGGTGTGTGTGGTGTGTGGGGAGGAGGGTGTGTGTGGTGTGTGTGGGGGGAGGAGGGGGTGTGTGTGTGTGTGTGGAGGAGGTGTGTGTTGTGTGGATGGGGAGAAAGGTTTGTGTTGTGTGGGTGGGGGAGAGTGTGTGTGTGGTGTGGGTGGGGGAGATCAGTGTGTGGTGGGTGGGTGGGTCAGGTGTGTGTGGTGTGTGTGGGGGAGGAGGTGTGTGTGTGGTGTGTGGGGAGGAGGGGTGTGTGGTGTGTGTGGGGAGGGTGTGTGGTGTGTGTGGGGGAGGAGGGTGTGTGTGGGTGGGGAGAAGTGTGTGTGGTGTGGATGGGGAGAAAGAGTTTGTGGTGTGGGTGGGGAGGAGAGGTGTGTGTGTGGTGTGGGTGGGGGAGAAAGAGTTTGTGTGTGGTGGGTGGGGAGAAGGGGTGTGTGTGTGTGGTGTGGGGGGAACAGTGTGTGTGTGGGTGGGGAGAAGAGTTTGTGTGGTGTGGGTGGGGAGGAGAGTGTGTGTGGTGTGGGTGGGGAGAACAGTGTGTGGTGTGGTGTGGGTGTGGTGTGGGGTGGAGAGTGTGTGTGGTGTGTGTGTGTGGGGAGGAGGTGTGTGTGTGGTGTGTGTGGGGAGGAGGTGTGTGTGGTGTGTGTGGGGAGGTGTGTGTGTGGTGTGTGTGGAACGGTGTGTGTGGTGTGGATGGGGAGAAAGAGTTTGTGTGGGTGGGTGGGGAGGAGAAGTGTGTGTGGTTGTTGGGGAGAAAGAGTTTAGTGTGGGTGGGAGAAGTGTGTGTGTGTGGTGTGGGTGGGAGAACAGTGTGTGGTGTTGGGGAGAGGTTTGTGTGGGTGTGGGTGGGAGTGTGTGTGGTGTGGGTGGGGGACGTGTGTGTGGTGTGGGGGATGTTGTGGTGTGGGTGGGAGAAGAGTTTGTGTGGTGTTGGTGGGAGGAGAGTGTGTGTGGTGTGGAGGAGGTGGTGTGTGGGTGGGGAGAACAGTGTGTGGTGTGGGTGGGGAGAAGAGTTTGTGTGGTGTGGGGTGGGGAGGAGATTGTGTGTGGTGTGGGTGGGGAGGGAGCAGTGTGTGTGGTGTGGGTGGGGAGAACGTGTGGGTGTGGTGGGGAGAGGTTTGTGTGTGGTGTTGGGTGGGGAGGAGGTGTTTTGGTGGTGTGGGTGGGAGGTGTGTGTGGTGTGGTGGGGAGAACAGTGTGTGTGTGGTGTGGGTGGGGGAAAGAGTTTGTGTGGTGTGTGGGTGGGGAGAAGAGTTTGCGGTGGTGTGGGTGGGGAGAAAGAGTTGTGTGGTGTGGGTGGGGAGGGTGTGTGTGGTGTGTGTGGGGAGGAGGTGTGTGTGGTGTGTGTGTGTGGGGAGGAGGTGTGTGTGTGGTGTGTGTGGGGAGGGAGAGTGTGTGTGGTGTGTGTGGGGGAGGGAGGTGTGCGTGTGGGGAGAGTGTGTGTGTGTGGTGTGGGTGGGGAGGGAGGGTGTGTGTGTGTGGGGAGAACAGTGTGTGTTGGTGGGGGAGACAGTGTGTGTGGTGGGTGGGAGAAGAGTTTGTGTGGTGTGGTGGGGGGGAGAGTGTTTGGTGTGGTGGGGAGGAGAGTGTGTGTGGTGGGTGGGGAGAACAGTGTGTGTGGTGTGGGTGAGGAGAAGAGTTTGTGTGGTGTGGGTGGGGAGGAGATTGTGTGTGGTGTGGGTGGGAGAGTTTGTGTGGTGGGTGGGGAGAAGGTTGTGGTGTGGGTGGGGGAGAGTGTGTGTGGTGTGTGTGGGGGGAGGAGTGTGTGTGGTGTGTGTGTGGGGAGGAGAGTGTGTGTGGTGTGTGTGGGGGAGGAGGTGTGTGTGTGTGTGGGGAGGAGGTGTGTGTGTGGTTTGGGTGGGGAAAGAGTGTGTGTGGTGTGGTAGTTAGAATGGGTTATGGGGTGTGGTGGGGAGAAAGAGTGTGTGTGGTGTGGGTGGATTAGAATGGGTTATGGGGTGTGGGTGGGGAGATGAGTGTGTGTGTGGTGTGGGTAGTTAGAATGGGTTATGGGGTGTGGGTGGGGAGAAGAGTGTGTGTGGTGTGGGTAGTTAGAATGGGTTATGGGGTGTGGGTGGAGAAGGTGTGTGTGGTGTGGGTGGTTAGAGTGGGTTATGGGGTGTGGTGGGTAGATTGTTGCCCATTTGTTACCTGTATTACCTTAGATTTCTTTCTTCATTGCCTCTTGAAGTAATCATTATGAAGGTAATTTCAGGCTTGGAAATCTAGTTCGCACAAAACACTCTAGTAAACCAGAGTCAGTGGAGGAGGAGTAGTGTTGGTGGTGTGGTAGTGGTCAGAGGCGGAGTGCTGATGTACTGGTGGTGATGATGGAGGTGATGTGGGTGGTGATGGTGGTGGTGAATGAGGTGGGTGGTCTTGGAGGGTGTAGTGCTGTGTGAGAAGTGGTGTGTTGATGGTGGTGGTGGTTGTGGTGGTGGTGTGGAGGTGTGGTGGTGTGGTGGTGGTGGTGGTGGTGGTGGTGGGTGGTGGTGGAGGTGGTGGTGGTGGTGGTGTGATTGGTGGTGGTGTGGTGGTGGTGGTGGTGGTGGGGAGTGATGGTGGTGGTGGTGGTGGGGATGGTGGTTGTGATGTGGTGGGGTGTAAGGTGTGATGGGGGTGGTTGGTAGGGCGGTTTGGGTGGTTGGTTGGTGATGGTGGTGATGTGGAGGTAGTGGTGGTGGTGATGTGGTGGTGTGGTTGTGTGATGATGTGGTTGGTGTTGGTGGTGTGTGGTGGTGATGTGTTGTGGAGGTGGTGGTGGGTTGTTGGTGGTGGTTATGTGGTGTTGTGGAGGTGGTGGTCGTGTAGAAGTTGTGGTGATGGTGCTGATACGGAGGCGGTGTGAAGTGGTGGTGATATTAAGGTGGTGGTAGTGTGGTGGAGGTGGTCACGTGGATGCGGTGATGGTGTGGAGATGGTGGTGTTGTAGTGGTGGTAGTGATGGTGAGGTGGGTGCGATGATTGTATGGAGGTGGTGAAGGTGGGGGTGGTGGGTGGTAATGGTAGCGGCGGTGGTGAGGGGTTGTGGTGTGGGTGATGGTGGGGGTTGTGGTGGGTGGTGGAGGGTGGCAGGGGTTTATTGTGGGTGATGATGGTGGGGGTTGTGGAGATGGGTGGTAATGGTAACGGTAGTGGGTGTTGTGATGGTAATGATGGTGGGGGTTGTGGAGATGGGTGGTAATGGTAGCGGCAGTGGTGGTGGGGTGGTGATGGAAGTGTTTGAGAGCTTGTGCCTCGGGGGAAGGATAATTGGTTTCCTTAGTCATGTTAATGGTCTCTGAGTCAGAAAGAAAATCAGTAAATCAAAGGCAGTAATTAATGACCGTCTATGAAACACCTGCATAAATGAAGATTTTTATTCATTATGCCCTCAGGGACTAAACTGTTAACCCCGTTGGCCTGTCCGTCAATAATATGAAAGAGGCTTCGTGAATCAAATCATGTTTCAGTAAACAGCTCTATATAAGTTTTGTCAAGGTTGAGTATATTACTGAACACTTTATGTGAACATTTGCTTCAATTATATCTCTTTTTTTGTATGAGATATTGTAAGGACCACACACACACACACACACACACACACACACACACACACACACACACACACACACACACACACACACACACACACACACACACACAATCTTCAGTGATTGTGTAGTTTTTAATCTAAAGTTCAAACGTCCAATCAGTGGTAAATAAAGTAAATAACATCTTGTTTGGTCATTTGGTGATACGGTGTGTAATGTCGAACTCTGTAAAACTCTACAACAGCGCCACTATTGCCTCTTGTTGATACGACAGAAAACTGTTTTTTTTTTTTCAGGTTATAAAGAGTTCCCATCATCTGAATTATAGCTGGTTCTTCCAAATAACCTAACCTAACCTAATTTGACACCCCAAGTAGCATTAGGGTGTTCATTCACCAAGAAGAAATAAGATACGGGCTAATCTTCATGTGTCCCCACAGTTCTTATATCACTATGGTATGCTATATAATGTTTAGCCAAAACTACCTAAGTTCCTCCTGGGAATAGATTGTTCACTAAAGGTTAAAATGCTTCTTTGTCTTCGGTGTAAATTAGGTTTGAGAAAGAAAGCTAATTTTGTCAAACATGATTATTCGTTCCTGTTCACTTTCTTTTTCTTCTCCCTCGGGTATCTTCTTACAGATTCCTCGGCTGTCACCCTTGTTGCAGAGAGCATACGCGTATATGTTCAGTCACTCTCCTCTACATAATAAATCGCTTTAGCGTAATATTTTCCCTAAAAGTTACCACTTTTTTTATTCCTTTTTCCCCTCCCCAACAAGAGGGTTCATCAGCCCCATCCTTCCCCCGAGTGACAGGCTGCTCCCTCACCTCGTTTACGCCCCTAACTCTCACAAATTACTTTAAAGTCTCCCCTCCCCCTTCAAAAGGGCTTTATAATCTTGCGGGAAATTCTATAGGGCCTTTTGTTGTGTCAGCCTTTAACAAGATACCCTACACGCGTCCATTGTCTCCCCCAGGCACAACGATATGGCGTGGAACATCCGAAACTTCGTCCATAACAAGTTGGAGAAGGTTGATATGTCACAGAATCTGAGCAACGTGGAGCCCTGGGGCAGCTCTCCGTGGTCTCACACCGACTTGGCCAGGATGCGACACGGCAGAGTCGGGGCGCAGGTGAGTTCTTACTTACAGGGCGTATCCGAGAGTACTAGGTGCCAGCGGGACAACAGCAGGTGTGTCAGGAAAAAAGGAGAATGCCATCAGGTGTGTCAGAGCTCAGAGGGATGTCATAAAATGTGCCACGAATCGAGCAAATGTCACCTCGTGTTTCATTAGTCATAGATATGTTTCTTGGTGTGTTAAGATTCAGGCAGATTTCACCAGGTGTGTTAGGCTTCAAGGGTACGTACTTAGGTATATCGTAGAGTCATAGGGACGTCGCAGACTGTTTCAGGGGTCAGGTAAATGTCTCGAGGTGTAGCAAAAAAGAAAAGGATGTCGCAAGGTGTGTTAGAATTCATGGGGGTGTCACCAGGTGTATTAAGTGTCCGGGGGACATCACCCGGCATAGGGCAGACATCGACAGGTGAGTCAGGGAGTAATAATTAGGCCACTGTATTTCACTGGTGGTAGCCAGCTGCGCTAGGGTTGTGTCCTTGACGGGAGAGAGGAAAAAAAATCTCACAGTAGTCAGTTGCTGCAGTGAATAAATATGCATGATTAATGCATCAATTTATGATGCCTTAGGACGCGGGGGAACAAAACAATGCACTGGTATTAAATTAAGGATTCTGTGTACTGAAAGTAGATTTTCTTAAAATGGGTCTCCTCTGTCTGCACTAAGGAAGATGTATAACAAAATAGTGCATGTTGCCTCTCCTGTGTGAGGATGGTCGAACACACGCGCACACAACACCCTCCAGGAGATGTGCCGGGCGGAAGTGTTCAACTTTGAGTGAGGGGAATGTGCTGTCGTTCCCACTGTTCTTGTTACAGCATGAGAACGAGAGAAGGTTCTCTTCTTTTGTAACCTGAGGAAACGTGACAAATATTTTATACAAGCTTAGATAAGATTAAAGTTTACGTGAGTTATTCCATTTCGGGAATGATGTGTCCTTTGAAAATATAATCAGTAAAAAAAAATATGAACAACGTAAAAAAAAAATCGATTGATAATGATATACAAAGGTGACGAAATAAATACGTAAGATGCAAAGAGAGCGAGAGAGAGAGAGAGAGAGAGAGAGAGAGAGAGAGAGAGAGAGAGAGAGAGAGATCATTAATAAACACATGATAACATTGTAGCTGGTGATAAAGTGAAAACATAAAATTATCAATAATTAAATCAGCAGAATGATGACAAAGACGTTTCCTCAGAGGTGGATGATGGAGAAACTTACATAGAAGCGAAGGAACAGACCCACAGGAAGCATAGCAGGGAAAATGAGGACCCAAAGCGAGGTTGAGTGAGCGACTCGTTTGATAAAATGAAGGAAACATTTGTATGAGAAAATAAGTTGAGTTGCTGCAGCACGAGAGAGAGAGAGAGAGAGAGAGAGAGAGAGAGAGTTAAATTAATGCAAACAAAATTCAGTCTCCGTGAAAAATATCCAAAGAATCCACTTGTGTTGTTTACATATAAAATAAACACCTAAATCTCGTCATCTTATGTTTTAAAAGATAGAAGGTTAATTAATACTGATTTTGTTATTAACCTCTTGAGTACGACTGCTTAAATCCCAGAGCACAATTCCAGCTTACTCAGGGCAATAGATTGTTGTATTTAACGGACTAAGACATCCTGTTCAGGGGACGAGAATATCCTACTCAATGGGCTCCTTCATTGGACTCAAGGGTCGGTGTCATACTCAAGGATATCATTAATCTTGTTTCTTTGTTCCATCAGTTTTTAGTTAAGTTAATTGGTATTCAGACTGATTTGACTTTTATTTCCTGTACAATATTGTGGTGATGAAGCTGATAATGGCCAACTGCCGAGAGTCATGGTGATGGCTGTGGCCGCACTGAAGCTGTATTAACATGGCTATATCATAATGGTGCGGCGGTCAAGTGGATACAGCTCAGATGGTTAATGGACACTTAATTTTACCATTGGGGAAGGGAAGATGATCAAGTGCAGTGTCGGACATACTGCTTCCTTGTGTACTCAAAGATGAATATTCAGTTTGTTATATACGCGTTATCTGGTTTATGGGACCCACGTTGATTATGTTGGTCTTGCTCTATCCTGTACGAAGACCAGTGTATGAAGCCAGTCTTGGACACGGACCAAGACCTAGTTAAGAACACGAACACCATAACCCACAAACCAGACCACAAAGACCAAAGCAGAGACGCTGACACTACAGGCAAAACATCTCATGGAACGAAAATTATTGTTAAGTTTTGAGTCACCACTCTGCTGTCTCACTAACTCACCCGCATCACCATTCAGCTGTCTCACCACTCACCTGCCTCGCCATTCACCAACCCCACTTCCCTGTGACTACCCTTACCAACATTCTCTCCCTGTACCTCTCACGCACTAATACACCATCCCTCTCCCGCGAGCCTCATCTACATCACTAATGCCATTCACTCTCCCTACCTCACTCTTACAACCTAACTCTCGCTACCTCCTACCCTTTAATACTGGAATTCGTCTATTATCTAGTCTGTCACACTCTTCCCCCACGTCAACCCAGAAGCTTAAAACCGTCGTATTATTAAACCGAAGTGAAAAAAGAGAGGCAATTTTGTCTCGTCAATCAATTCCGTATTATCAAACCAATTCACACAGGATGGAGATGGTGCTGTACCCTACCCCTCGAACTGTCAGAGAGGGAACAAAATATTGGTAAAAGAAGAGGCTAAGTAAACCATCACTTCTACTCAGTCTTCACCAATAAAAATGATAATAGAAGTACGTATATACTCATATATAACCATAAATCAACACATGCATATATTTTAGGATTTACTTGGTGGTGAAGTCAAGGTATGCAAGAGAATGTCACGAATTTAAGAGTTTGGTGTTTGAAGACTTCGTTGTGGAGTGTTTCGAGTGTTGTCTGATGGGTTGTGTGTCGTTGTTGGAACAGTAGGGAATACGTTACGACAGGTCTTCCAGGGTTAATACATTATGTTATAAATTATTATGTGGGGTAAATAGTTAAAAACTTTTATGTCAACTTATTTTTACAGCATACATCATCATTAATTTTATCCTCCCCTAGAATGTTGCCTCCCCTAGAATGTTGCCTCCCTAGAATGTTGCCTCCCCTAGAATGTTGCCTCCCCTAGAATGTTGCCTCTCCTAATGTGTTGCCTCCCTAGTGTGTTGCCTCCCCTGGTGTGTTTCCACCCCTTGCGTGTTGCCACCCATAGTGTGTTACCTCCCCTGGTGTGTTGCCACCCGTAGTGTGTTGCCTTCCCTAGTGTGCTGCCTGTCCTGGTGTGTTGCCTCCCAAGTATGTTGCCCCCCCTGGTGTGTTGCCTCCCCTAGACGATTGCATCCCCTGGTATATTGCACCCCAAAGTATGTTGCCTCAGCTTTTGTGTTGCTTCCCCTGGTGCGTTTCATCCGCTGAATTGTTGCCTCCTCTAATGTGTTGCTTTCCCAAGTATGTTGCCTCCCTGGTGTCTCCCCTAGTATATTGCTTCCCCTGTTGTATTGCCTTCCCAAGTATGTTGCCTCGATATGTTACCCCTTTCATAGTGTGTTTTCCCCCTAGTATGCTGTCCTCCTGTGTGTGTGTGTGTTCGCACACAGGGTGGCGAAATGCGTCTAGTGTGGCAGCATTATGTCAGTGTTAAGGAGCAAACACTGCTTGCCTCCTCTCGCTTTCAGTTACCGCCGCTGGCTAGCCCTCGTGGCGAACAGGAAGTAACTTGTATAAGCCTTCCCCTACCAGCCTCTTCACCATCAAGACTCCTGCTGTGCCTCTTCGCGACAACACACGGTAACTGGGTGCCTCGTAGGCCCAGGCTAGACCAGCAAGGGGACCTCGTTGTAGCAGTGGGCCCCAGAGGGACGGGACATAGGCCCACTGGCATGTGGACACGTCCTGGCACCTACCAACCACTGCCCCACTGCCTTGCGGATTAACCTTGGTAGGTATAAGGCTACGGCAGTAAACCCGGACGGAAATCTACAGTGGAACCCCGCATCAGGCAGACATGCTTACACAGCTCAAACAAGACCCCAACGGCGGTATAGGCGGAAGAGATGACCACCATGGGAATCCAACGACTACACCGGCGAACGAAGGCAATGCATGATAGACAGGCTACTAAGGCGAAAGCCAACAAACTGGGCTATCGACAGTCCATTGCAACTCTCCCTCTCCTCAGTCGTTGCAACACTTGCACCACTGCATCAGGAAAAGGGAGAGCCAAGATGTGTGGTTGCAGCCGGCGCGTCTGCCTCACCACATAAATTAACTCATGCGCATCCATCATCCAGCTCATCATACCACTCATCATCATCAAAACCCCTATACCCCAAAAGTCCTATGGCGACTGACGAGTGGCGACGCGGACAGGCAAAGATAACTGCCAGGAATCTCTAGTTACAACTCTGCACACGGGCGGCACAGATAAGATGGCCCTTTATGCACTGGGAACCAGGCAGCAGTGCAATTTGGTCCTGTCTGTGCGACTGAGCAACCCTTTCGAGGAGCCACTCTGCTCATCCCACATGGGGAGGGGGCTAGAAAAAGTGCCCTAAACATGGCCTGTCTTAAAAAAACTACCTGGCTGGGAAACCGCAGCCAGTAAGGTCATCCTTATGCGGTCGAAACAACAATCAAAATCACAGATGCAAGCAAAAACAAACTATACAACCTATTATAGTCGCTGCATTGAATGTCAGGATCCTTCTGGATACTGGCACAAATGAGCATCCAGAAAGAAGAACCGCCCTTGTGGCAAAAGAGCTGGCTAGGTATAACATCGACATAGCAGCCATTAGTGAGTCCCGGCTCCCAAATGAGGGTCGTCTCACACAACGGGGGTCTGGCTATGCCTTCTGGAAGGGAAAGCAAGTTGCGGAGAGAAACGGCATTTATGGAGTTGGCTTTGCCATCCGCCAACGCATCCTAAATAGGCTAACTGAAATGCCTATTGGGATCAATGATCGGCACATGACGCCTCTAGTCCCACTGCATCACTCA